CAGCCCCTTCGGGTGAGCTCTTGGTTTTCCCTCAAAATTTCTTTTTCTCCTTCTTTCCCCTGCCACCCGAACCCCTCTCTTCCCCCTCCGGTCGGCCCACCCCAACCCCTCTAATTTCACACTAACGCCACATCCAAGACCCCTCCACCCGCCGGCCCAAACTCCCCTTCCCTTCTCCTACCCGACGCCATCCCCTTCCCAATGCCGCCGGCCCACCCCCATATCCACCTCACTTAATGATGATTTCAATCATCATAATTGCTTTCCTAAATTAACTCAAGCAAAAAAGGAAAGGAATTAATATTATTTGAAATTCAAATTTGAATTTTAAATACTTTTCTTATTTACAAATTCTAAATTAGGAAAGTGCATAAATCTAAGTCTAATTTAATTTTAAATTAGATTTGATTTATTATTCCCCTTCCTAAATTACATAATTCGTTTTGGAAGCTTTTATATCCCTCCCCAAACTCCCTCTCCCTCTTTAGATGCCGCCGGCCCTCTCTCTTACTATTGCTTTCTCTCTCTACTTCAATTCCCTAATTCTAATGTGAATTTCAAATTAAATTTTAAATTCAATTCCCTCCCAAATTACTTAAATTTGAAATTAATTTCAGAGTTATTCATAATCCCATCACCCAAACCCCAAACCTAACTTAGCCCACAAGCCTCCCCTCTCTCCTTGGTCGCCCCTCTCCTCTCCCCTTGTCTCTTGGAAAACCTAAATCTTTCATGAGTTTAAAGCCAAGAGGAGAAGACAAACTCCCTCCTCCTATCTACCATTAGTGTATGACTGACATTGAGGTCAATCACAGATTCGCATACAACGCTCAAGGAGAAATCGACATCTTGCTATCTCCTTTCTTTGATCCAGACTGGGCATACGAGGATTCAGTGGAAAGCCACTTGAATCAGATACTTTTTCATCTCGCCGAGACGATTGACGAGCAACGACCAACAGGACATTGACAAATCGTCGTCCGACCATCAACTTCCCTCCTCTGGCTACTTCTCCGGCAGACAATACCTATGCGTCACTTGTCTTGTGGTGGCATCACCAGGGTTGCTTCTACCCTTTCTCCGTTAAACCCCAATCTCAAGAACGAGAGTGAGGGAACTCAGGGTGAACACTTCTCGTTGTTACGCCGTGGATTTTTGTTTCATTGCCATTAGTTTTACTTTCTTATTTTGTTGTTACTTGCAAGTATCTTATTAATCTCATTTGTATTCACTTGCTATTTTCTAACGAAAGTTTCTAAGAATCTAACTTGGTGAAACATAAGTTTACGATTAGCAAAGTTAAAGTTCAAATTATTATTAATTTTCAAAAGCAATTTGATGAGGACATCGACAGATACTACCGACATGTTTATCGACGAAGGAATCGCAGATCTACGGCCACGAGTCAACGCCTCTACTTTTGATTCATATTTCATGATGTGTGATGTAAAACATAATTGCATGGATGAATTGCTTTAAGGAATTTGCACACGTAAGATTTCTTGAACAAAGAATTATACCTTAATGTTGAATTTAAACGGCGCAATAAAACACTAAGAGCGGTAAAACAAGCTTAGGCCGAATCGCGTGCATAAAAGTTAAGATCAGAAAACAATCAAGTTAATCTAACATTGCATGCATGCTTGGTTTTCAACCATAAATCCCAATGCTAACAATAAGACTAGTCACTACAAGGAAATCCCTCACTCAACTTATCTAGTTAGAAGGGTTTAGCAGAGAGTGACGAGAATCTTCATGAATCATTTATAAACCACAATTGAAAAGTGACTAAGAGATTTAAGGATTTGGGGGAGAGTTTACCCAAATAATCAGAGAATACGAAGCTTCCAGTTTGATCACCAAGGCACTGGATGAAGAGCAATCAGCAACGTCAAGGCTTGGACACGGGGGGGGAGAGGCTTGGGAAGAAGTAGAGCATCAAGATTATGCTGCTGTAATTCACGACAACATCCAGGAATCGGATTCCCCTACAGGTAAGAGACGTAGGGGGGGAGAGGCTTGGGAAGGGGACATCTATGGCTGCAGGGAAACAAAGTATTTCCATCCCAGAACTCTTCGTCAGGGCTGAAATTCAAATCCAATAGGAATTAATTGGATTCAATTAAGGAGTTGATTGGGAGGTCATTATGGGAAAGAAATAAAGAAGAGGAGGGGGTTTTGTTTTCAAAACCTGAAATTAATTTCAGGATTTGAATGAAATTTGGGGGGACTAATTTGAAATTTGAATTCCAATTAATCTTGCAATTAATGGAGTAATGGGGGGAAAGGGGGCCGGCGGTTATGATGGGAGTTATGAGGGATTTAATTGGTGCTTAGGTGGCAAAGTGGAGAGAGGAGGGAGGGGCCGACCCTATGGGCGGTTGAATTTTGTGTCTAAATTCAATGTGAGTGGGGCCCATGTGGTTGAATACAATAATCCAATCAAATTCTGAATTATATTCAGATTTGATTAAATATGAAAAGTTTCCCAATTGGGTATTATCATCTAAGGAGGGATTCAAAATTCAAATTTCAAATTGAATTTCAAATATTAAACTTCCTAAATGACAAAGGAACGAATTAGGAAAGTATTGAAAGCCTATTTGAATTTGAAATTCAAATTCCAAGGATGAATTTTGGATGGCAGGCGGGTGGGGTTCCATGGGTGGTCGGCGGCTTCAGACATGGGGTCCGGCGGCCGGTGGGGGAGGAAGTGGGGCCGGACGGTAGGTGGAGGGAGCGGGATCTAGGGGCTAAAGAAAGGGGGAGGGGCGGGTGGCTAGCCGGCTGTGTGGGGGCTAGTTGGGGAGCCGGCGGGTATGGGAGAAAGAAAGAATTGGAAGAGAAAGAAGATATGAACCAAGAGCTCTCACAAAGAGGGCTGTTGGGTACTTCGATTGAGCCTCTCCTAGGCTTCACCACTCACTCTAGAACTCACAAAGAGATCCAAAACAAAAAGCTGAAATTTCATATTAATCATCATCCCCCATCCAAAAGGAGGGAGAAGGCTTAAATAGCCAAATACATGAAGGAAAATAAAAAGACACAATTGCCCCTAGGGCAATCATAAGACAAAGCCCTCAAGTGAGGGTAGAAAGGGAAAAATACAATAACAATTCAAATACATAAAATATATCAAAATAAATTGACACGATCGTAGCCGTTGATCTTCGATGTCCTCATCAATGTGTTATTTAGTTATTTGTTGTTTTCCATTTTTACCCCTTTGGGAAGTTGTTTTGTTATTGTAGCCCAGAGGGCAATTTCGTACTTTTTTCTTTTCATGAGTGGAGACCTATATATAGTGGTCTCATATGTTGTAATTTCTTTGATGAATGATAAATGAAATTTTCTTTGCTTCTTCTTCTTCTTGCATGAGAGCTAGAGAGAAGGTAGAGTGAGCTCAAGGTGAGTGAGTGCAAGGCCCACCAGTCGTTGGAAGAGTCCACGGCTCGTGGTTAGTTTACTTCTAGTTTGCTTTTGTTCTCTCATCTTCCTCTCCCCAAGTCAATCGCCGCCCCCCTTGCAACATCTCCACCACCGGAGGCTTCACATCTTCCACCACAATTCATCCTCTAGCTCTACCACATAAATCCCATCCGCCGACCTAGCCCAACCCACCACACAACCGCCCCCTTCCCTCTTGACCGTCGGCCCCATCTTCCCCCAAAATCATTATGATGATTTTAATCGTCATAATGACTCCCTAATTTGATTCTTGCAATAAAGGGTGAAGTTAGTAAATTTGAAATTCAAAATTTGAAATTAAAAAACTTTCCATATTTGCAAAATTCCAAATGGGGAAAGATTTCGAATTTGAATCCAATCCAAATTTCATTTAGAGTGGAATTATTAATTTCCCTCCTATTTGACCTCAACTTATTTGGAAAGCAATTAGTCTTCCCCTAACCCCTCTCCCTCCTTCTCAATGCCGTCAGCCACCCTTAATGGGCTCCCCATTAATTCCACTTAAATTCCCCTTCTCTCTCATTAATTTGATTTTCAAATTTCAAATTAATTCCCTCTAAATTTACTCAAAATCTGAAATTACTTTCAGATTTGAGTAAATCTCATTCTCCCCCCATCTAACCTAAATCCCCTCACCCAAGTCACCCGCCCCCTCTCTCTCTACCTTGGCCGCCCCTCTTTTTGCTCCCTCCCTTGGGAAGTTTTGGTTGCTCATAACACTTGAAGCCAATAGAAGAAGACGACGCCCTCTCCCCATCTCTTCAATGATGCATGGCCGATCCTGAGATCGACCTCGGATTCGTATTTGACGAAGAGGGAAGAACGGATATCCTTGGGTCCCCGTACTTTGACGTTTTCTTTGGCAACGACGAAACCGTTGAAGGGTACATCAACCGCATCTTGTACCAATTGACGTTGGCAATCGAAGAGCACCTTCCACCAAGTCGTTGGATCATCGTCGGCCACCCACCACCTTCCTCACCATCGGCTACCGCTCCATCAACGAAGGTCTTCGGCGCCGTCTTCCTACTGGTAATATCTTTCTTCGTATGGTTCATCTTTCTCCGCTAAAGCCTACGAGTGATTGAGTGAGAAGGCCCTTGAGGTGAACCTCTCGCTGTTAAACGTTGGATTATGTTATGTGTATTTAGCATTTACTCTTGCCTTGAACTTTGATGGAATTGTTTGGTTAATCACTATTGCACTTTTTTGGCCTAAGCAAGTTGATTAATTTAGATTCATAATCTTCTTTTATGTGCTAGTAGTAAATTTTCATGAGCAAAGCTTTATTCAATTGTCTTTCTAATTTCCAAGGTAACTCCTAGTAGTTTCACATCACAATTCTTGTTTACTTACATGTTTCACATCACTTTTAGATATGTTGAATTTCATTATTTCTTATTTATTGCATGTATAACCTACTTGTGTCAGAAAAACTTAATTTTTTTTGTTCTTGACTGAAGTGAACTTTGTACTTATTTTCTGCTTATTCAGAAATTGAAATTCACACTTGCTTTGAATTTAATGAGCAGTTTGATGACATAGGACATCATGGAACTAAAATTATCGTGTTCAATCTGTGGCACAATGATGATGGTGTTATGGAGCTTGATTTTTACACAGATTCAGAGGTTAGAGTAGCTTCCTGTTGCTATCATTGTTTTGAGATTCTTTAAAACCCGGCTCTTCTCTTTTTTGTCTTCCCTAGAATTCTCTTTCTGCTTTAAGAAAAATCTATGCATTCCCTTTTTGTTGATCTATTGCTTATTTATTTTCATTATTGTTTAATTTGTTTTATGTTATATATCTGGTGGTTTCATGACGGTTTTTTTCCTCTTTGCTATCTTTGTGTTAACTTACAAGAGATGGTTTCTTAAGTTATTTTTACTTCCTTGCATATTCTTGCAGGATATACTGATCACTGGAGGGCATGTAGAGCAAAAGAAAGTAAAGAAGTCTAACACGGAAGCTGAACTAACCCAAACAAATGTTGCAGGTCGATATCAATATTCACTCAGAGTAAGTTGAGAGACAATGCGTGACTTACCAATAGTGGTCTTCTTTTATTAATACTTCTGTTTTTCTCAATTTACAGGTATACTCATCAATCTTGTATCTGAAGTTGCCACAAAACTTCAAGATATTGTTACGTGGTGTAGAAGTTGAACCTCACCACATTGTTAAGGATTTAATGTATATCGAGTGCATTAGGTACAAACCACAAGTTGATGTAAACCAGGAGGTTTGTATAATTAGATACAATCAAAATTATTGTTGCTCTATGATATATGATTTGTACACCATTTAAAGTTTAGTTTAAGTTATCTATCCTCAAGTTCTGATGATAATATCTTTTGATGTATTTTTAATTATACTTATCTTATATTCTATATTTTGGTAGTATGAAGATTGACGTTATTACATATCCCTGCTTGGAGTATGTTTTTTTTAATTTTATTTACTACTTTCCTTTTTTTGAAAATTGCTATCACTTCTTGTATAACTATACATATGTATTTTCAAAGGAAGAAGATACATGTCTTATTTGTTGTTTTTCCTTGTACTTCACTATTCATTGTCAGCCTTTCATTGTCATATCCTCTAATTTCCAGGTGCTTGTTGAGGTATAGGCTTTTACCTGTTATACTTTAACAAAGGACCACTTGAAGCAACCCTCTTCCAAGATTCACATGTAGCTTTTTTGCCTGGAACTTCACCATTCATTTTCGGATTAGTTTTCATTTGTCACACCTAATTTTAACAAACTTAGTCTTCGTTTGGGACAGCTTTCTTGCTGCTTCTTAAAGCAGTTTTTTTAACTTTTATATTAAAAAGCTGCTTTAAGAAGCAGTAAGAAAGCCATCTCAAACGAAGCCTTAATTTCCATTACATACTCTAGTTAATGCATGTTAAAGTTTAGGATTTTGTCTTTTATTATTTTTCAACGACTATATTCCTTTCTTGCTGTGAGCTTGATGTAGTTGTATAGCGCATGAATCAATTCTGATCTTGCAGTAATGATGTTTTCCTTGCTTTTCCATAGTAAGTTTCATGTAGCCTTTGGACTTTACAAGTTGTTTTCTAATAACAACATCAAGCCTTAGCCTTTATTCCACTACGTGAAACTTTACAACATTAAGCTCTTTTCCGAGAGGGCATATTCAGAGTTGAAAGTTTCATTGCAGTGAAAATTTACTTCAGATTTTGGAAACCTAGCTGTGATGTTTTGGAGAATGTTGACCTTATAGATCATTTAAGGTGTTTTTTGTTTTGAGTTGGGCTTTGTAGTTCTTTATTTTGCAAGTCTTTTCTCAAATGTAGAAATTACAGAAACGATGAAAAACTATCAGTTCTTCAATTGTATACTCCATAAAGATAACACTGTTCCTTCTTTCTTCAGTTATCTTTTCACGACTGATTTTACAGACTGATTTTATATTTTTCTGTCTTTATTCAGGTAATTGTGGACACTACGATTGGATTCATGAATGGTGCGCCTGCTATTAATGTTCAAGGATTCAATGTCTACCACAAGAATCGCCTTATTCTGGTGATATTTTTGCATTGCCAAACTCAACCTTTTATACCTAACGTACTATATAGAAAGTCTTGTACTTTTATATGCCAGTTGTAGTCTTGGTTAAAGATTGTTATTTCTTGACTATAGTATAGTCTGTACTGCATTGCTTTCTCTCAACATAATTTCCTTGGAAATGACATAAGGGATTAGATACCACATTAAATCAAAGTTCCATTTTGATGCCCCTTCCCTAGAGACAGAGAGAGAGAGAGATGTGTTAACCCACATATCTTCATCATGAGGAAATACGAACTAAACTTGCTTTAAATCAACAATAACGCCGATCATTGGATATAACATAACACAAAATTAATTGAACACCTCAATCCCTATCAAAATCATTTAACGGGCTCCTATTTCGTGAGATAAACTCGACCAAAGTGTCCAAAGCTTCAAAGTTAATTAGAGATGATTCCTTGCACCACCAATAGGAATTTGACAAAAATGACAAATGATGGATGCGACACAACACAAAATGCTCAACCCTCATTTGTCTCACAGAATGGATAATGTTAGCGCATCCGGGAGTTGAAAATACCTAGAAAGACCTAGGTTATTGTCAAATGATGACATGATAAGAAAATGATAGAAAACAAGCGCAATGTCGTGCAAATTGGGGTTAAAATACATCTACTGCAATTAAAGTCACTAAAATGTCGCCCATTCAAAAAATATATTGTGCCAACATGTTTAGAACGTTGAAATTATCTTGGAAGGAGGCCCACATTAGGGCTGCAAGCGAACCAAACGTTCGACGAGCTATTCGTTGTTCGGTTCGATTAAAGCTCGTTTGTGATCGTTTAATTAGCTAAACAAACAAACTTGAACAAAATTTTAAATACTCGATTCTTAAATAAACAAACTTGAACACTAATGCGTTCGGCTCATTTATGTTCGCGAACAACATCATTTGAAGTTCGTGAACAAGCTCGACATTAAGGTCGATAAGAAGCTCGATAAAAGCTTGATTCGTGTTCGATTTTGAACTCGTGAATAAGCTAGATAAAAATAATTAATATTTGACTATAAAATTAATAAATATAAATAATCATTATCTTTATTACATAGACAATTGCTTTTATTATAAATTTGTTTGTTCATAGATATGTTCTTGAACGTATTTGTTTGATAGTTAAAAAAAATTCGTTATATATGTTTGTGAACAAGCTCGATAAGCATTAAACGTACGAACATGAACTGAACATGAACCGAACATGAACACTCATTAATTTAAATGAACCAAACATGAACACAAACAATAAAGCTCGAACAAACATGAACCAAACTTGAACAAGCTGATATTAAATGAACACAAACATGAACACTCACATACTCGGCTCGGCTCGGTTCGTTTGCAGCCCTAGCCCACATTGCCCTATCCAATGCATGAAAGCAAGACACAACATTTACCCGTGCGCAAGGTGATGTCACATAATTAATGGTGGCAAATGATGAATTTTGCTATTAGGAGCAATCTATGTGTCATTAAAAAAGAAAATTATTATTATTTAAAATAAATTTATTATAATTAAATTAGATCAGTTCAAATATTTTTTTAATGTGATATATATGTATATATAAAAGAAAAAATGTATAATATCAAATCATGATTAGAATGGAATCCAACTCTATACCCTTTAAGTCAGGAAACCTCGTATGCATCCGCCCATCTTTTGAGGCCTTGTTCTCTCACTCCCATCGCTTTTTGAGTAAAAATCTAAATTAAAAATTTACCTGTCCCTCTTCTCATTTGCATGCCTTTAATTGAGAACTCCTCACACCACTGCTAGCTTCTTTGTCTTGCTCTCTCAAGATCATGGGATCCATAATGAATCCAATTTACCGGCATTTCTCCCTTTCCTTTCCTCTCCAAAATCGAAGTCTTTGTGCCCTCGCACCTTCTTTGCCTCTCTAAATCCCCCCACCTTGCATGCATGATCTCCACTTCCAACTTACCGCCTGTACATAGTAGCAATCATAGTTGAACCCACCTTTGCTTGCACCTAGAACCCGCTCCCACTTGAAATTTATGGCGTCAAGAAATCAAGGAAGTTGTGAAAGGATTTAAGGTAAAACAAAGAATTGGAATTTAAGGCAACTCCAAGTTCATCGCAGGGGAATTCCCAACTGCTGAACTTTTTCTCTCTCCCTTTCCTTTTCTCTTTCTCTGTTACTTTCAGTTTTAACTCTTCCCTCTCTTTCTATCTCTAATCACATCTCTCTTTTCCTCTATCTTCTTTTCCCCCTCTCTAACTCTCTGTGTCATTCTTCTCTCTCTACTCTCTTTTTCTCTCTCTCTACTCTCTTTTTCTCTTTCTTCCAATCTTTCTTGCTCTATCCAGATCTTTCTCTCTCTACTATTTCTTTGCCACCCTTTCTCCCTTTCTCTCTCTAAATAGAGAACAAAAGATAAAAAAGGAACGAAGTTAAAAAAAGGAGAAAACACAAAAGAGATTTCAAAACATTTTTGCAATTCCTCCACAAATTTTATTGTCTTGCCATCGTCAACCGCCTCGCGTGCATAAGTTTTAATGCGCGCATAAGTTTTAATGCAAAAACTCTAAATTTAGTACCTATACACAATGGTCCAATGCGGTGAGGAAATTTGTAAATTCAATACTTGTGCACATTATTCTAATGTGGTGGGAAAATCTTGCTTATTCACTTGTGCAGGTGATGAAAGACTATGCATGCTTTTTTAAATGCGATGGGTATGACTTATGAGGACTCATCTGTCGCGGTATCTCATGACACTGACCTTGTATGTTTTTTTAAGCGCCATCTGAGATGTCCCCAATGTGGGGAAATGCTTGAAATTTACACTTATAGGGGATCCAAATATAAAGGGAATTTTGAAAATAAATGCAGTTTTAAAATTTATCTAAATAAATATTAAATTATATAAGTAACAAAAATGACTATTAAATTGTAGGATTTAAAACATAGCTGAACTCAAAATTGAACAAAAGTAAAAACTTATTGGGAACTTGACTAGTAACTTACGCATGAATAGAACTTCCCTTTTGTACTTAGAGCTTTGAGAATTGTGGATTGAATGGGTTATGGTGAACTACAACAGCCCTCTTATTTATAGGAGGAATAGTTTTTGTGAGGCCTCTCCCATACTAAAACTCAAATATGTAAAAACAATTAAAAAGGACACCATGAAACATTTGATAAGAATCTTAATCACTCATGCCATTGGATCCAAATTACAAGCACGCAAGTAGATTTTTTTTTTAAATCTCAATTAAAAACTTAATGTCCATTCTATGATAGAAGTTTGCGCAAATAATCAAAATCTAGATATTTTTAAAATCATGTATGGATTATGACGTAAATTTTAAACTCAAGCATGTAATTGCCTTAAGAAGCTTGTTGGTGCATCAAGAAGTGTGTAGTTCCCTCAATAAGCATGCACTTGGCTCAAGAAGCATGTCAGTGCATTGAGCATGATGTTGGCTTGAGAAGCGTGTAACAACTTTGAAAGCATGCTGTCATCCCAAAAGCTTGCAAGTACATTAAAAGGCATGCGAGTTCATGTGCAAATGCAATGAAAAGCTTGCAAGTGCTTCTTGTAGGCTCATTAGAAAGTGTGCAAATACACTGTGCACATGTATCGAAAATGTGCGAGTGTATTATTGACAGCTGGTGACCTGCATTTGCTTTTCCCTCACAGCAGATGCTTAGGCGCCGGTGCTGCCTAGGAATTGAACCTGCCCAGGTTTGGTCTTTCTCAGGGATGGTTTAATCCTCTACGGCCTAGCTTTAGTTTTTTGTTTTTGTTTTTCCCTCGCATTTTAGTCTCAATTTTTGTGCAAATAAGGACAGGATGCCTCCATTTGGAGGGTGGTGAATAATAATAATTAGTGAAGTTTTCTTTCGCCACAAGGGTGTTTTTTATCCCGATGTTAAGTCTCCAAGTGGTGGTTCTTTCCAGTTTCTGTTTTCATTTTTTGGTTTTAATGATGTTCATATTTTGGGTGGGGAGAAGATTTCCTTGTTGACTCTTTATTCCATTATTATTTGGTATAAGAGCCTCCAAATCGTAGCATGCTGCCAAGAAGAGCATATTCATGGCCCATTTAAGAAGTTGTGATTGAAGGATTGCAACAAGAGATTTGCCAAGAAAGGCTTGTTGAGATGTAGCTCTTCTAACCTAAGTATCGTTGGAATGAATTGGAGGAAGAACCCCGTGAAGAAGGGGAGGAAAATTCATTCCATCAAGAAGCCTCTTGCGAGGAGGACGAACCGAGACCCAAGAAGGCCTCCTCCTACTTCACTACTACCGCCGAGAATTAATAAGGCCGCCTCCTTATTTTGTAATCAACATAGACATTTCAGAATTTGAGGGTCGATTGGACCCATACGAATTCATCAATTGGATACATATCATTGAGCGATTTCTTGAAGTGAAAGAAGTTCGTCTTGACTGCATTATGAATTTGGTGGCCATCATTATGGTGGGAAAACTTGAAGCATTCTTAGCATTGAGAAGGACAAACCAAGATCTTTTCTTGGGCCAAGATGGAGCTGCAGCGAAAGTTTTTTCCCAACCACTATCAGCAAAATATATTCCTTTGATTGCACAATCGTTGGCAATAATAACTTTCCGTAGAAAGCCATGCTTTTGAATTTGAACTATTGTGCTTAAAATTTTACTTGATGGAACCAGTAGAAAACACAATCACTTACTTTCTTGTAGTTCTGAACCCATTTATTGCTATTGTGGTTCACTTGCAACCGTAGTGGACTATTGCATATGTGATCAACTTTGCCCTCAAGGAAGAAAAACAATAATAGTAGAGGAAAAGAAAAATCGTAGCAGTTTAGGGGTTGGGTGAATAAGCAAGCCATCCCGTCCCTTGGGCAAGCTGACACCTTGACATTCCCGCTGTTGAAGCAGCTGCTGCCGGCCAGATTTGGGGATGCCCAATTCCAGGTCCAGCTTCTGTCAGCACTCTAGCTTC